GGGGGGGGGGCATCAATTGGTTGCCTCACACATGCACCCTGACCGGGGCCAGGATTGAGCCTGCAACTGAGGTACATGCCCTTTGCCGGAATCAAACCAAGGACCCTTCAGTCCGTTGACCGATGCTCTAACCACCGAACAAAACTAGCTGGGGCTATACAATCTTATATTTTGCCCTGTGCTGCTTTCTTATTTCATATAGGTGGCTCTTGCTTCCCCATTTAGAGGGTAAGGTCTTTGTGACTAGTGACCGTGATGTCTACTTTTCAAAAATAAACATTTGTGCACTAGCCGGTTTGGCTCAGTGTTAGAGCACTGGCCCGTGGACTGAAGGGCCTTGGGCTCAATTCCAGTCAAGGTCACATACTTTGGTTGCAAGCTCGATCCCTGGCTCCAGTCAGGGCACGTGCGGGAGGCAACCAATCATGGCTCTCTCACATCAATGTTTCTCTCCCCCCCCCACACTCTCTGAAAAGCAATGGGAAAAATATCCTCAGGTGAAGATTAAAAAACAAAAATAAAACAAAAACAAGCATTTGTGTCCTTGAATGAATGAGGTTTAAGAGCTTAGGTAATATAACTTGTTAATGGTAGATATGGGACTAAACAAGGCCCAAGAATCTGACTTAGTTGGACTCACACTGGCAACTATCATAGAGACATCTGTCCTGATCCTTACAATTAATTAAAGCCATACATTGAGATCCATTACATAGGACCCTTTGCTGATTCTCAAGAAAAGAATTAAAAGCACAGCACTTCTAGAATTATCATTAAGGGAAACCGGACTAAAGCTACACAATAAAAATACTTGCAAAGCAGCATTTGAGTTAGTACAACTTATTCTGAGTGAGTCTAATCTATACCATACTGAAATTGTAGACAGGTAAAGATTTAGAGATTAAGATTTTTAGATCAGGGAAAACTAGTTTTTGAAAGCAATAAGGAGTGGACTCAGAAAAAGAAAGGAGAGTAGCCAAAGTAGAGGAAATGTTAGAGCCAGAACAGGCTGCTGCTCTGCCCTCCTGTTGGCACATGTCCACCTGCAGAACTGGTCTGACCTTTTTTGCTACAAAAGGAGTCAGTGCTCATGACTAAAGGTTGCTGGTTATAAGGCTCTGCTTTACTCTTAATCCTTTTTTCCTAATCTAATTCCTGATCTGGCCCACATTACAGGCTCACATCCTTCCTCTTCAGAGTTTTGCAGCCTCAGTGATTTATCTTAGAAATGTTTGACATGTCTGTTTCATTTTTCCTAATCTCTGTTCCTCCTGGGGGTCATCAACAATTTTCAGCTAAGAGGACAATTTTGCAGCTCTATATAAATAACTTAGTCAAGTTTAAATTCTCTTGAAAACAAGGGGAATGGAGAGATTGAATTACTTTAGTCCACATGTTTTGTCTGGTTTTTTTTAGGAGCATGAGCAAGCCTGTGCTATAAATGATAGGCTTTGGGACAAGGGTCCTCTTCAAGTGATGGTAGTAATGTGTTCTGGGGTTTTTTGTTTTCTAGGGGTTGGCCTGGGCCCTGCTCTGGAGTTTTGCATTGCCATCAATCCCAGGTAACCATTTTAGTAGTGTCTTATGTCTTTCTACCTTTATGAATGTACCTTCTAAATATAGACTGTATTCCTGTAGCCCTCAACCTGATTGTCTTTTCCTTAACAGCATCCTTCCCACTGCCTTCATGGGCACAGCAATGATCTTCACCTGCTTCACCCTGAGTGCACTCTATGCCAGGCGCCGTAGTTACCTCTTTTTGGGAGGTAAGTATGGACTGGAAAACAGGGAAAAGGTCTCCACTCTAGCTAGGATTCTTGCTAGGACTATTTCCCCAACCCCTACTTCTTGTGCCTATTGGTTTGAAGTAGAAAGCCTTCATTTGGTGGGGAATGTAAGGAATGGCTTTAGCAGGATTGCTTTACTTTACTTTGGCTTCTCAGAATGGCTTTCTGTCGTCTCTTATAGGTATCTTGATGTCAGCCTTGAGCCTGATGGTCTTGTCTTCCCTGGGGAATCTTTTCTTTGGATCCATTTGGCTTTTCCAGGTGAGACTTTGCATATAACTTTCCAGTAGCTATTTGCCTCACACTTCTTTTTCTTGCTTATCCCCAAAGCAAGATAGATCAAGAATCCTCCAGAATGCTCACCTGTGTTGGGCAGTGCTCTTGAAGCCTCCCCACTAACCTCCCTAGGATGGAGCCTTCTGTGGTAAAAGTTCAGATTAAACGGGTTGCACATTGCTAAGGAGAAGACTCGGTTTGCTCAGAGATCATTTGTCTAAGGCCAGTCAAGCAGCAGGAGCTCCTTGTTAAAATGATTGAATCACTTCCAGTGACCAAAAATAATTAGTGCAGAATTATACTGAGGGAAGTTATGTGGTCTTTGTCGTCATAGACTTCAGTGCCCATAAATTTTAATGTCAGTAGGGTTAGCATTTGATGTACTTTCAAGTGGCTGAGAGCCAGAAAGAAGTATGGCTTTTTTTCTCTATGGTGTCTACCAGATGGTAACCTCATCTCATTCTTTTGTTAGGCAAACCTGTATTTGGGGCTGGTGGTCATGTGTGGCTTTGTCCTTTTTGATACTCAACTCATTATCGAAAAGGCTGAAAATGGAGATAAGGATTATATCTGGTGAGTGTGAAAACTGGTCTTTAACAAGAATGAAGGGCGAGGCATACTACTCCATTCCAAATCCTAGGGACAATTCTTTGCCTGACCCACCTTTCTCTCTACAAGAGAAGACCAGGTGGCACTGGCCAAGCTTTAGGGGTGTATGTGGGAGGATGCCCATGGTTTTGGAACTATGCACCAAATAACATAGTTTCTCTCAATTTCTGAAAAATATCAGATTTTTAAAAATTGAATATGTATTTATAGATCCATACTTTTCATAGTGGTTACCTCTAGGCAGAGGAGAAGGAAAGGTACCTTTCACCTGTTATTCTGTATACTTTTGTATTCTTTAAATCTTTAATAATGAGAAGATATACATATAATTTTTTAAATACATGTATTTTTTCATGATACAATCTTCTCAAAGTTAGTGGACAGGGCTCAGAGTTAGGCCTGAATTTCTCTTTTTTCTATGTGACATGGCTTCATTGAGTTGAAAGGGTTTCAGACAGTTTTACTTTCTTAGTTGGTGGTGGAAGGGACTCATGCGATGGGGGTTTGTGTTTTGCATCTTTGTGTAAAGGAAAGTAAGAAGTGCAATTTGTGATCTGGTTCTCTTTCAGGCACTGCGTTGACCTCTTCTTAGACTTCGTTACTCTCTTCAGAAAACTCATGTTGATCCTGGCTATGAATGAGAAGGTTAGTCAGCCCACTACCCAAAGATGAGACTAGCTCTTGAGCTCAGCATCTGCATGTACTTCAAATTTGAAAACTTAATTACACACTCTGTAGGTCCAGGGTTACATAAGGCAGGCCATTGAGTAAGAAGTAAGCCTGAAGCCTTTAGTTAATGGAGAAAAGGGAACAAGTAAAAACACTCCTTTTTTAAAAAAAAACACTTATCCCTAGTATCAAAGGGAAAGAGTTTCAGCGGCAGCAGTCTACTATACGAAAAATGTAAAGGCTGTAAAGATGGTTATGACTCAGAAAAGGATATTCTAGAGGATTTGTATAATATTGGCAACCAGCTTTTGTAAATATATTTCAGAAGTAGACCAATTTATCCATTTGTTGGTCTTAATTTTTTCCCAGAGAAGCATTCTGTATACTGTTAGTGAGTGTCAACCATAGTCTACTCCAGCAGCAGGGGATCAGTGAAACCACAAGCTTTTCTTACAGTCCGTACTATGGAACAAGACACAGTGCAGTGATGTTGGAAGCAGGTGACTAGGGTTTGGTGGTTCTCTGGTCTGTGCCACAGTTGGACTGAGCACCAAACAAGTATCCCAGTTTCAGTCAAAGCAACACATCTTTCATTTGTTCACTACACTGGGCTTCCACCTAAGATTCACCGAAGAGTTCCCTAGACTAGAATATTTCTGAATGTTGATTTATGCTTCCTTCTCAGGCCTTAATGGGAAGTTGGTGGTCTTGACATCTTGTTTAGTTCTTTTAGGGAAGACTGCAGCCTTCTCTGTTTGGGATCTGAGCTGTAGTGGTTGTGAGTAGCCAAGAGTGGTTAGGCAGCCCACCTAGGTACTCTTGGGGTGGGAGTAGGCTCAATTGCTTGAAGTTTAGTCTTGGCAAACCTGGATGTTCAGTAACTTGGGGACCATCAGTGGACCACCTGCCATGCTAAAGGAGTGATTCTCATTCCTTTTTATTGTCCTATCCCTTCTAGTCCCTAACCAAAGGCAGCCAGGTATTGGCTCACTTAAGAGTTTTAGTTTGAATGTCTATTGTCAAAAGTTAATTGGGTAATTTTTCTCCATTCCCAGGACAAGAAGAAAGAGAAGAAGTGAAATGACCATCTAGCCTTTCCCAGTTTGGCTTCCTCTCCCTCCGCCCCTCATTTTCTCTCTGCACACATTACAGGTGGAGTGTTCTGTGATAATGAAAAGCATCAGAAAAGCTTTTGTACTTTGTGGTTTTCTCTATTTTGAAATTTTTGATCAAAAAACTGACTAGCAGAATATAGTTTGGAGTTTGGCTTCATATTCCTGGAGTTCTTCCCCACTCCCTTTTCTGTCATTCCCATCCCTAGTTTCTTCCTCCGCTTAGGCAGCAAGTCCACCTGGTGAGGAGTGGGGCCCGCAGAGGGAGACAACTCCAGAAGTCTGCTTTCCCGCTGAGCTGTACCAAGTGGATCTGAACTGTGTGGTAGAGCCACCTCGGCCCTTCCTTCCTCAGCACTGTTTGGTTGGTGCACAGTTCCTATGGGACTGGGCAGTGTGTTTTCCTTTGGAAAGAAGTTTGCTGGTCCTCTTGTTACTCGGGCTCATTATATCTGAGCTTCTGTCAACCCCTACAAAGAAAATGAAGAGCCTCCTCTGGTGGATGCTTTGCCTCTTCTGAGCTGCCCAAGTCGCTGCTGGTCTGGCAAACACACTTTCTGCCTTGCTATCACAAAAGGAATGTGGGTCTGTGTATGTTCCCTTTTCCATTCCTTGTCTGACCCTCAGGGAATCTGTCTGCTTTCCATCCCTGGGGTTGGAGGATTCAGCCCAAAGAAAGACTAATTCTTGTCAGGCACTTATGAAAAGGCTGATTATGTATGGCAAGGTAGAGCCTAGAATCCCCAAATTTCCCCTGGCCTTTATTTTGGTTTTAATTAGTTATCACCTTAGTTACTGAGTGGCCTCTACCAGGTGGCTGTGATTAAAGATCCCAGGAGAGGAAGGATAGGGAAAGGGGAATGGTTGAGCCCTTGGGGGTAATTGTAACTAATCCTGCAGACAAACCTAGATAAGGACTTGTTTGGGACAAAATACTGAGTGAGTGGTTCTTTGTTCAGATCAGCGGAACAGGGTTGATGACTTGGGAGGCAGCATTCATAACAGTCCTTTGGTGCATTTTTGTTATCTCTCATCTGGTAATCTCCCACCTGATCTTAGGTAGCATCAAGCCAGAAATTTGGGGCAGAGATAAATGTTTATTTTACTACATGCATTTTAGTTTTTGGCTGTACACCTGTTCCCGTAAGTCTGCAGTGTTCCTTGCAGGACCCATGTCACCAAACCTGCAAGACATCTGATTCCCTGCAACCTTGTGGTTGCAAGTGGAGGGAGAGCAGTGTGGATGGGCATCCCCAGCCCCTTCCCTGTGGGCTGCACAGTCAGCTGGCACAGATGGGCGGGCCTTGGGAGCATTTGTGGTTCTCGCTGCTCACAGGCCTTCAGTGTAAGGGACCGAGCGTCGAAAGCTCGTTGCCAGGAGGACACCATTTTTGGCTGTGCTCGTTCACACCCAGTACACAGTTTGACCCAGTGGGTACTGCAGTGTACATATCCCTGAGCCATCCAATGAAAAGCTTTGTTCCCAGGCTGTGTGTATTCCTGGGGTGGCATGCCACCCAGAGTGGCTTGCTTCCATGGAGGATGCCACGTTATCATTGAGCTGCTGCCTCCAGCCTCTGGCTTGAGAACTTACTAAAGGGAACTTCCTTTCCATTTAACCCCAATAGCAACTCCATAAATTTGTTGATTCTCTGCTAGGTCTGAGTTACATCTCTTGAAGCCAAACTCCACCTCTTACGCTTTTTTTGCTTGGGATAAAGGAGTTTTTCTTTAGAAACAGTGCCAAGAATGACAAGATATAAAAAAACTACTTTTAAAGAAAATGTCTAACAGGTTTTTAAAACAGTAATCACTGTAATTATCACTTTCTTTTCTAGTTCCTTGGTTTTCAGCTCAGGCTGCATTCTCTAACTCATACTGTGAAGACAAAGGTGTTTTTGATCAGAAATATATGAAATCTACATAGTCTTAATTTGTAAAAAAAAATAATAAAGAGAATTCCTTAACCTTTCCTGATGTTAACATGTTTTAAATTCAAGGCTGCAGCTGAACATGGGCTTGGGAGACTTACAAATGAGAGCTGAGTGGGACAAGATTTTTTACTCCAGGTGGAATAGAAAGAAACAGGGTCCCCTATTTAGGCACCACTTCCGTAGCCCCAGCTTGCCAGAGTTTGAGAATTTTCTCTGTGCAGTACGGAGCCCAGGCCTTTCTCTGTTCCTCTCCCTTCCCAGCCTGTAGGTGGTTTGTGGTAACAGTATGTGTAGCTGGTTCCAGTGTAGAGCCAAGCCTTGGAACTTGGGGGTGTATAATGGGAAAAGGGCACACATAATGCCCTCATCCTGCAAGTACTTTGGTCACCATTGTGGCCAGGCTTTATTCTAGGGCCAGGAATCAGTGAAAAACATCCTTGTCCTTACAGTTCTGATATAAGATTACAAACCAAAGTTTGCATTACAGTCTGGTTATTCCATTTGGCATGTTTGCCTCCTGGTTGTCATGTTCATTGTAGCCACAGAGCTTCCTGTTAGATTTAACTGTTAACTGACTGGTTCATCCAGGTTACTCCCAGTTGACCTCTTTCAACCCCACATACCCCCTTCCCAGCTAAGGAGGGCCATTTCTTTCCCCAGCTTAGAAAGGGTGCCTAAAGCATCTTTTCTCACTCTTCTCTCGCTGACTAAAAAACATCAGTCTCAGATTCTTTTTATTGTATTCACTTTTTTTAGAAAGAGGAACATTGGTTTGTTCTTCCACTTATTTGTGCATTCATTGGTTGCTTCTTGTATGTACCCTGGCCAGGGATTGAACCCTCAACCTTGGTGTATCGGGATGATGCTCTAACTGAGCAGACCTTCCAGGGCCAGTCTCAGATTCTTTAAAACCCAATTTTATCCTTGTTCTGCCTTCTATTTTGGGTGGGGGAGTAAGACACAAGGCACAACAGTGCTGACAATCTGTTAAGCACTGTGCAAAGTGCTTTAGAGGTTTTAATATTCCCAATAACCTAAGAAGGTGGTGTATTTACTACATATGATCAATAGCTTCCAAAGTTACACCAGCAGGCAGCAGCAAATCTATGTCTAGAAAGAACCCAGGTGCACTGTCTCGAGCCCCAGCTCTTCACTGTTGCCCTATGTAGTCCACACTGCGGTTAGTGCCCCCTGGACCAGTGTCATCCTTTCCATCCTGACCTTCATTCTGCCAGCTGGCTTGGAGTGGGAAATGTGAGGCGGTTTGAGCAAAATCTCCCCACCCACACTCTTTGTAACCTTTTAGTCTTTTACCCAATGAGCCTACCAATTACAAATAGAATTGGGTAACACAGCTCATTTCATGCCTAGCAAACCTGCAGGCCTGAACTAGAGAGGAAGTCACTGGTGCAGAAGTGGAAGGACCAGGACTGTGTATGCTGGGTGAAGAGACAGTCCTGCCTAAGCAGGTTATCAGATGGGGGCATCTCTATGCTGGGGATGAAGACAGTAAACAGTTACAGCCGAACGCAAAACTACAGGCAGGCGTATGTGTCTACACAAGCAAGCAGTGGGCCCTGACACAACCGTGGACCTGGTGGTTCAGGGAAAAGTGTTTTGGAGGTGACACCCGAGCTAAGTAAAGCTAAATCTCAAAGACTGAGTCAGTGAAACAGGTAATGAGGTAAAGAAACAATGGTGGGGATGGATATTTCCAGGCCAAGGGATTAATATGAGAAAAGGCACAGGGGCACGATTCATGATGGGGAGTGCTTGTAGTGGTAAAAAGCTAGGTTTGGCTGGGTTGTAAAGTTTGAGAAGACTTGTAGGAAATGGGAGGGGGCGGGGTAAGCTGAGGACCTGGTACAGGCATACTTTGGAGATGTTATGGGTGTTTTTCCAGACTACTGCAATAAAGCAAGTATCACAATAAAGTGAGTTGTAATCCTTTTGCTGATGGAGTGTCTTGCCTTCAAACTGTTAAAAAAGAAAAAAGAAAAGAAACTTCTCTGAAGCTCAATAAAATAAGATGAGCCTGTATTCCGTGCTAAGGAGCTGGCTTTGTGCTGAGGGTAACAGAAAGTATAGAAGGGCTCTGAGGGAGGGAGAGGTCAGATTTGCATTTTCACATTTCATGTGATGAAAATAACTTGGGGAAGGAGCAGACTGAAAGGCAGTTATACTTTTTTTTAAACATATCTTTATTGATTTCAGAGAGTGGAAAGGAGGGGGGCAGAGAGAGAAACATCAATGATGAGAGAGTCATTGATCGGCTGCCTAACCCGCAACCCGGGCGTGTGCCCTGACCAGGAATCGAACCCCGATCTCCTGGATCCTAGGTCGATGCTCAACCACTGAGCCACGCCCGGCCAGGCCAGTTATACTCTTAATGCCCCAATTGTGGTCTTTCTCATTACTCGATAAAAGGAACCAGAGCTCCTTGGATAAGTAGTGCTTAAAGGTCTGTGCAGGAAATGTACAAGGTGAACCTGGAACCTGTTACTTCAGAAAGCAAAGAAGCTATCAAAGCTGGCTAGTATAATTCACAAGGACTCAGAGGCTAAGCTAAAGAGGCTCTTACTGACTAGAGATGGGATTGTTTCAGCCCTGATAAGAATTATAAGTGCAATGGATTGAAATAAAATATTTTAAAATTTATGATATTTTAAAAATATCTTACTGGTCACCTTTGGAGGATGCTAGAAACCAGTCCTTTCTAAATACTTGTTAATAAAGGGAAAGAAGCATTTATCCTTTTCTGTATTAACTGTACTGAGGGTAATCAAAAAGTAGTGTAAGTGAAAGTTTTTTTCTAAAGAAATAGTCCAGCTGATATATGAAGGAATTACAGGATATATCACTTATTTTGTAAACCTCTGATGAAATAATGAAGGTAGGCAATGGTAATCAATAGCCACCAACATCATATTAAGAGAGACAACCTGTGCCCGCAGCTGTGGCTCAGTTGGTTGAACGTCATTCCATACACCAGAAGGTCCCGTTTGGTTCCCCCCACACACACACACACACACAGAGAGAGAGAGAGAGAGAGAGAGAGAGAGAGAGAGAGAGAGAGAGAGAGAGACAGCCTGCCTTTAGCCTTGGCCCAGTAGATCAGTTGGTTAGAGCATCAAGCATCGTCTGGATACACCAAGGTTGCAGCTTTGCTCTCTGGTAAGGGCACATACAAGAATCAACCAATGAACCCATAAGTAAGTGGAACAACAATCTCT